CCGAGCTCTAAGGAAAAACACTCAATTTAACAATGCGAAAAAAATTGAAAACTTTGGTGCTACCAAACAAAGTTTTGAATGCCAAAATAACAACAAAAAAATTTGCAAACTTTTTTTTTCTCAACTTACCTTAACAACTTTTTTTGTTCAATGCAATAAAAATAATAACAACAACAATATCGAAAAGTTAATTATACAAGCAATGTTTAAAAATGGCTTATTTTTTTCTTCTTCTCTTTTCAAGGTTACCAATAAAAAAACATTAACGGGACAGGACATCACCATCCACATAAGAAGAGGGGATTAAAGATTGAAGGCTGTCGAAAGTTTAATTTGTTCTTGAAAGGCATCAGCAAAATTAAATGTCCAACATTTTAAAATAAAATTGAAAATTTTTCTAATCCAAAAAATAATAATAATAAATAATTAAAAAAACAAGAAAAAAACGCGAGAAATTCCATTAAAACGTCTAATTAATTGTTTCAGAGCAAGAATAGCTCTTTAATGTAAAGAGAACATTGTGTGTGTGTGAGAGAGAAACAGAGTAACACACTGCTGTCACTGTTAAAAGCACACTCATTACATTGGATATCATCGCCATCATCTTCATCACCTTCATCTTTAATGTAAAGAGAAATTCGTGTGTGTGAGAGAGATATAAAATAACAGACTACTGTCACTGCTAAAAGCGCTCTCATTACATTGGATATCATCGCCATCTTCTTCATCACCATCAAAGAGATAAAGAGCAAACATCCGTTACATTACAATTTGCACAACTGTTTTGTGGCTTTCAGAGATTAAGAGATCAGTGGCTGTGTGTGAGAGAGATATTTAAAGTGGCATATATAAAAGAGAAATTACCGTTTGATGGTGTTTTTGTTGTGAAAATTAACGGAACGCGGTGAAATAATTGTCTGTGAAGCTGTTGATTGTTAAGAAAGCGGGACTTTTTCTCATTGAAGCACATCAAACAAGGGGGAGAGAAAGACATCAAAGAGAAGAGAAACTAATAATAACAGGTAAGTAATTACAAAGGAATTTTTTTAGAGGTAAAAATAAAAGATACAAATTAAATTTAAAAATTAAAAAAAATAAAAAAAATTAAAAAAATTAATTAATTGAAATATAAAAAATTTTTAAAATATAATAAATAATATTTTTTTATTATAAAAAATAATTTAAAAAATCAAAATTCAAAACAAAAAAAATAAATTAATAAAAAAACATACAAAAATATATAAAAATTGTAAAATATAATAAATAATATTTTTTTTTTTATAAAAAATAATTTAAAAAATCAAAATTCTGAAAAAATAAATTAATAAAAAAAACCTAAAAATATATATATAAAAATTGTAAAAAAATAATTAATAAAATTTTTAAAAGAAAAAAATTTAAAAACCAAAAATGGAAATAAAATAAAAATTCAGAAAAAATAAATTAATAACAAATATTAAAAAAAAAAATATTAAATATAAAAATAAAAATAAAATATTTTTAACAAATTAAATAAAAAATACCTTAAATAAAAGTATTTGAAGTAAATATAATATATAATATCGAATTTAATAAAATTTTTGCCAAAACAATAACATTTGACCAGTAAGGAAAATTCAAAAGTCGGACGGGACCCTTCACCACTTTGGGTACATACAAGAGATGCTCATATGTAGAATATCCTTTTGATAGAATAGACATAGCATCTTTGCAGGACCACTGAAATGGAATCGGACGAAATTAACTGCGTACATAAATATTTGAACTAAATTAAAATCATCCATACACATACCAATCTGAACTTTATTACAAATTGGCATACATCAATCTGGATCTAATTCAGTACTCTGTGCAAAATTGTGTCTCAATCGGCCTAAATTTGACTCTTTGGTGCTCCATTTATGTAAAATCGGACGAAAATATATATGAAAGCTATATCTAAATCGGAACCGATTCCAACAAAACTTCGCAAACATCAATTTGGACCCAATTCAGTACTCTGTGCAAAATTTCGTGCAAATCGAAAGATATATAGGGACTTTGGTGCACCATTTACATAAAATCGGATGAAACTATATTTGAGAGCTATATCCAAAGCTGAACCGATTTTCACGAAACTTAACACACCTCATCCTAGACCTAATTCATTACGCTATGCAAAATTGCATGCAAATCGAAAGATATATAGGTACTTTGGTGCACCATTTACACAAAATCGGACGAAAATATATATGGGAGCTATATCGAAATCTGAACCGATTCCAACAAAACTTCGCATACATCAATCTGGACCTAATTCTGTGCAAAATGTTGTCTCAATCGGAGCAATATTGGAAGTTTGGTGCACCACTTACCTAAAATCGGACCAAAATATATATGGGAGCTATATCGAAATATGAACCGATTTTCCCGAAACTCACTATTCATCATTCTAGACTCAATTCAGTACACTATGCCAAATTTCGTGCAAATCGAAGGATATATAGGTACTTTGGTGCACCAATTACCTAAAATCGGACGAAAATATATATGAGAGCTATATCCAAATCTGAACCGATTTTCACGAAACTTAGCACACATCATTCTAGACTCAATTAAGTACGCTATGCAAAATTTCATGCAATTCGAAAGATATATAGGTACTTTGGTGCATCATTTACATAAAATCGGAAGAAAATATATATTGGAGCTATATCTAAATCTAAACCGATTTTCTCGAAACTTACCACACATCATTCTAGACTCAATTAAGTACGCTAAGCCATATTTCGTGCAAATCGAAGGATATATAGGGACTTTGATGCACCATTTACCTTAAATCGGACGAAAATATATATATGGGAGCTATATCTAAATCTGAACCGATTTTTCCCAATTTCAATAGGGTTCGTCCTTTGGCCAAATAGACGAGCTGTGTCAAATTTCATCCAAATCGGATCATAAATGCGACCTGTACTTTCTTCACAAAAATACATGGACGGGCGGATAGACTAACGGACGGATGGACGGAAAGACCGACATGCATAAATCGACTTAGAAAGTGATTCTATGCATATTCTCAAATGGAACCATGTGTCTATCTCGTTTGCTTTTGCCTGTTACAAACATATGCACAAAGACATAATACCCTGTACCACAGTGTGGTGAAGGGTATAAAAAGGGGCTTATATGGGGACAACCCGCAAAAGGGGCCGAATATTATCAATTTTGCTACCATATACGACTACAAAATACCAAATTTCAGCGTATTCGGTTGAAAAACGCGCTCAAGAACCCCAACATACCGAAAATTTGGGGGTACCCTTATATGGGGGCTAACAGAAAAAATGGACTTACATTTACAATTTTTAGTGGGGACATTTGGTATCCAATAAGAACCTCTTGTACCAAATTTCAGCAAATTCGATTGAAAAACGCGCTCAAGAACCCCAAAATATCGAAAATTGGGGGTACCCTTATATGGAGGCTACCAGAAAAACTTGACCTATGTTCATAACTTTTTGTGGAGGAATTTGCTACTCAATAAGAAACCATGGTACCAAATTTCAGCGAATTCGACTGAAAAACGCGCTCGAGAACCTCAAAATATCGAAAATTGGGGGTTACCCTTATATGGGGGCTATGCGAAAAAATGGACTTATATTTATAATTTTTTGTGGAGTGATTTGCTACCTAATAAGAACCCTTTGTACCAAATTTCAGCGAATTCGATTGAAAAACGCGCTCAAGAACCCCAAAATATCGAAAATTGGGGAGTGCCCTTATATGGGGGCTATCCGAAAAAATGGACCTATGTTCATAATTTTTTGTGGAGACATTTAGTACCCAATAAGAACCCAATGTACCAAATTTCAGCGAATTTGATTGAAAAACGCGCTCAAGAACCCCAAAATATCGAAAATTGGGGAGTGCCCTTATATGGTGACCAGCAGAAAATGTGGACCTATATTTACAATTTTTTGTGGAGAAATTTGGTATCCAATAAGAAGCCATTGTTCCAAATTTCAGCCAATTCGGTTGAAAAACTCGCTCAAGAGCCCCAAAATATCGAAAATTGGGGAGTACCCTTATATGGGGGCTACCCGAAAAAATGGACCTATGTTCATAATTTTTTGTGGAGAGATTTGCTACCCAATAGGAACCCATTGTACCAAATTTGAGCGAATTCGATTGAAAAACGCGCTCAAGAACCCAAAAATACCGAAATTTGGGCGGTATCCTTCTATGGAGGCTACCCAAAAAAATGGACCTATATTTATAATTTTAAGTGGAGAGATTTGTTACCCAATAAGAACCCAATGTACCAAATTTCAGCGTATTCGATTGAAAAACGTGCTCAAGAACCTCAAAATATCGAAAATTGGCGGTACCCTTATATGGGGGCTATCCGAAAAAATTGACCTATATTTATAATTTTTAGTGGAGAGATTTGTTACCCAATAAGAACTCAAAGTACTATATTACAGCCAATTCGGTGGAAAAATCCGAACAAAATCCCCAAAATGCTGAAAATTGGGGTGTACCGTTATATGGGGGCCAGCAGAAAAAGTGGACCTATAAAAGTGGACCCAATAAGAACCCAAAGCATCGAATTTCAGCGAATTTGGTTGAAAAACGCGCTAAAGAACCCCAAAAGTACCGAAAATTGGGGGGTACCCTTATATGGGAGCTATTCCTAAACGTGGACCGATATAGCCCATCTTCGAACCTGACCGGCCTGCAGACAAAAGACGATCCAATGCAAAAAATTAATTTAAAAAAAAAAATAATTTTTAATTTTTTTTCAGATAATCTCTTCGCCCTTCCGAATGCAGCAACCTTCGGAATTAATCTCCTAAAAATTATATCGGATCTCCTCGTTCGTGGAAAAAAATCAACGCTTATGATTGCCAAGCAGAAAATCGGCTCTTAACATTTTCTTCTCGAAAAAATCTGATTCCATCCTCCCTTCACCATCCTGATATCGTGATTTTTTTTTCGGGACCCAGGGGCTGAAAATACCGGCTGCAAAGTGAATTTATTTCAGCATACCATGTCCTCGATATCGGCGCAAGGCGTGGTCGAACGTGCCTCCGCTGAACTATCCAAGCGTATCAATGGCCTCGGCTTGCGTTCGAAACATCATCACAACAATGCAACGGCACAGTCAACGGCGACAACAACAACAACAGCAACAAACAATAGTAATTCGGCGACGACGGGAACAACAACAACTACAAATAACTCCTCTTCCCAATCGGCGGCGAATTCCGGCAATTCATCATCTTCGTCCTCTTCTTCGTCAACGTCGTCCACATCCTCGTCGTCGTCCTCTTCATCGTCCTCGGGTAGTGGCAAGACATCGGTAATGGAAAGGGTGACCAATGCTCTGTGCGGTGGTGGGAATTCGAATTCGAATGCGAACAACTCCAATGCGAATAATTCCAATCAGAGTACCACAACAACAGCGGGAGGAGCCACAACGGGTCTAATAACGCCCGACAAACCCAGCAGGGCTGGGACCATCAACACCCAACAGCAACAGAGTAACCAACAGTCCCATCACAGCCTGCAGCAGCATCAGCACCAGCACATGACAACGACAACAACCACCACGGTGAACAGTTATCAACTCCTGCAGCAGCAACAGCAGCAGGTCCACAAGAATTCTCCTCCTCCTCCCTCCCAGCATCAACAGTATTTAAGTTCGCAGATCGCCAATTCGACGCTGATCAACTCGAATCTGGTGATGAATCCGGCGGGCACACCACCCACGGTACCAAACATTCCACTGGGTGCCCCACCCACGCCCACAGTGAATTCAATTGCCAAGCAAATGAACATCACCATACCGGGGTCGGTGGGGCCGGGAGCACCGCAATTCACCACCATGGGTATGGCGGCGGCCCAGAAGACTCAGTCACTAACCCCCCTACAGATGCGTAAACAGCTGCCCAATCCTCATCTACATCATCCCTATGCCACGGGTGGCGTAGGTGGTGGTGGCGGAGGCAATTCACAATTGGCCCAAGCTGTCACACAATCCGCCTTGATCCTACCCAAATTACCACCTCCCATTACCAGCATTGAGACCCTTATGCAGGACGAACGATTCCTCAACCGATTCTTTTTGTATTTCAACTCCTACGAGCGGAGAGTCCTGGCCCAGGTGTGTATGAAATGGCGGGATGTTTTGTATCGTAGTCCTCGGTTCTGGTCGGGTCTGCTGCCGACGCTACAGTGTCGTGAGTTACGGCAAATGAATGCCACCGATCGGGTAAAGTTGTTCAATTCGTTGATACGACGAGGATTCCATGCCCTGGCTTTGGTGGGGGCCAACGATGATGATGCCTACGATGTGGTCCATTCGTTTACGCTGGCATCGAAGCACATACACTCGTTGTCGTTAAGATGTTCCTCAATATCGGATCGGGGCTTGGAGGCGTTGCTGGATCATTTGCAGGTGAGTGAAGGCAAAAATTACCAAGAAAATAAAAAGTTCGAGGATCTGAGGATTTTTTAATAAAAAGGTCAAACTGAGAGATCCTCCGATTTTTTCGATAGAAAAAACCCAACCTGAGTGAACCTCAGGAATTTTTTTCTATAGAAAAAACTTGACCTGAGGGTCTCACGATTTTTTTTTTATAGAAAAAACCTGACCTGAGGGTCTCACGAAATTTTTTTCTATAGCAAAAAACTTGACCTGAGGGTCTCGCGAATTTTTTTTCTATAGAAAAAACTTGACCTGAGGGTCTCGCGAATTTTTTTTCTATAGAAAAAACTTGACCTGAGGGTCTCGCGAATTTTTTTCTATAGCAAAAAACTTGACCTGAGGGTCTCGCGAATTTTTTTCTATAGAAAAAACTTGACCTGAGGGTCTCACGAATTTTTTTCTATAGCAAAAAACTTGACCTGAGGGTATGAGGAATTTTTTTTATAGCAAAAAACTTGACCTGAGGGTCTCACGAATTTTTTTCTATAGAAAAAACTTGACCTGAGGGTCTCACGAATTTTTTTCTATAGAAAAAACTTGACCTGAGGGTCTCACGAATTTTTTCTCTATAGCAAAAAACTTGACCTGAGGGTCTCGCGAATTTTTTCTCTATAGCAAAAAACTTGACCTGAGGGTCTCACGAATTTTTTTCTATAGCAAAAAACTTGACCCTGAGGGTCTCGCGAATTTTTTTCTATAGAAAAAACTTGACCCTGAGGGTCTCACGAATTTTTTTCTATAGAAAAAACTTGACCCTGAGGGTCTCACGAATTTTTTTCTATAGAAAAAACTTGACCCTGAGGGTCTCACGAATTTTTTTCTATAGAAAAAACTTGACCCTGAGGGTCTCACGAATTTTTTTCTATAGAAAAAAACTTGACCTGATGGTCTCGCGAATTTTTTTCTATAGAAAAAACTTGACCCTGAGGGTCTCGCGAATTTTTTTCTGTAGAAAAAACTTGACCCTGAGGGTCTCACGAATTTTTTTCTATAGAAAAAACTTGACCCTGAGGGTCTCACGAATTTTTTTCTATAGAAAAAACTTGGCCTGAGGGTCGCAGGAATTTTTTCTATAGAAAAAAACTTGACCTGAGGGTCTCAGGAATTTTTTTTTTCTATAGAAAAAACTTGACCTGAGGGTCCCAGGATTTTTTTTTATAGAAAAAAAGTCATCCTGAGGGTCTCAGGAATTTTTCTCAAAATTTTTTCTATCCTAAAATATTTCTACATCATGTTGTTAAATCATCCTTTGTTCGAACAAATTCCATTAGCTTTGAAAATGTGTCGAGTCATGTCGGCAATTCGAGGAAATTTAATTTCATCTCTAAAATTTATTGTCTGCCACTTTCCCCCCTTTATTTTTTGGCGAACATCTATTCTTAATGGTATTAAGATTGCCTATGAAAATTCCAATTAACTACAAATTGCCTTTGATGATGTTATTTGCCTAAAGGTATGCTTTTAATAAAAAAAATTGAGAAAATATTTCTAAGAAAATTAAATTTTTTTAAAGAATGGGAGTTTGAGATGATTTTTATTTTTTAGAGTCATAAAGAATATAAAATTCCAATAATTTAAAATTAAAACTCCTAAAAGTATACTTTAATAAATTGAAATTATTTTATCCTAAAAGTATGCTTTAATAAAAAAACATTTTCCTCTGTCATATTTCTCCATCATTAAATCGCACATTGCACTGCAATATCTCCGCTCCGCAAACAAATAAAACTCAAATACAAACAAATGACATTTTCATGTCTCGCATGACATTTCAAATGTCAAAGCAGAGTCGTGATGACAACCAGCAACAACAACAATATTATGTGCTTCTGAACAGAGGGAACACGTTCGGAAAATTGTATAACCCGTTTTTTTCTCAATTTAAATTGCAACTAAAGTAAATGACAAATATGTGCGTTCACTCTCACTTTGTGTTTGTGTGGCACACACACAGGGTAGATTTCATCACACACACACATCTACCAGGCAACTCACGTTCCATGCCCCAATTCCACTCAATCAAACAAATTTGTCAAAAGCAAAAATATTTTGTGAATGATGATGATGATGACGATGATATTCTGCATACAGAGGCTCCTCTCTTACTCTCTTCTCTGCCCTCCCTCTCTCTCTCTCAAAGAGGGTATCTGTGTATTTGCCATCCCATATATGCGTGTCATACTTGCATTAAATGGAATTTTTAGTACAAAAGGATGTCAAAGCTTTGTTTAGCTATTTGCATTCGTTGTTGTTGTTGGATTTGTTATTATTGTTGTTGTTGTTGTTGTTTATGATGATGTTGACAATGATGATGATGATGGCAGCAATGTCAATAAGTCAATGTCAAATTAAACAATGAACCAGCCAACCCATCAACCATGTTATTTGTAATTGCATGACATGTAAAGCATACTTTTAGGAGCTACGATTATGGTAGAGGCTATCAATAGGCAAACAATTTTTTGAGGGCTCTCAGGAAAATTCCTGAGACCCTCAAGAATAATTTTTTCTATTAATATAAAAATACTGAGACACTCAGGACTATTTTTTCAATGTAGAAAAATATCTTTAGAAGTCATAGATTTATTAAAGAATATTTTAGGAACCTCTATAAGGTGTGGATTTAAAAAAAATATTTTTAGGAACCTCTATAAGGCGTAGATTTATGGAAAATATTTTTAGGTACCATATTTTTAAGTCGAAGGCTTGGATTTATTAAAAAATATTTTTTGCCAATAGCCGAAGGATTTCTTTCAAATTTTTTCAGTAGTCAAAAAAAAATCAAAGAATTTTATTAAAACTTAATTCCAGATGTTTAATAGTACCTTGGTGCGTATAACTGGCGACATCACGTATACGACACTGTGCACTTTATTTAAATATCAAGGGATAAAACTTCCGCTTTGAAGATGTTTAATAATTTTTAAAAGGATTTAATTGTTGGTCTATGAAAAAATTCCTGAGACCCTCAGGTCAAGTTTTTTCTATAGACAAAATTCGCGAGACCCTCAGGTCAAGTTTTTTTCTATAGGAAAAAAATTCCTGGGACACTCAGGATGACTTTTTCCTGAAGAAAAAAATCCTGAGACCCTCAGGATGACTTTTTTTCTATAAAAAAAAATCCTGGGACCCTCAGGTCAAGTTTTTTCTATAGAAAAAAAAAAATTCCTGAGACCCTCAGGTCAAGTTTTTTCCTATAGAAAAAAATTCGCGAGACCCTCAGGTCAAGTTTTTTTCTATAGAAAAAAATTCGCGAGACCCTCAGGTCAAGTTTTTTCTATAGAAAAAAATTCGCGAGACCCTCAGGTCAAGTTTTTTCTATAGAAAAAAATTCGCAAGACCCCCGGGTCAAGTTTTTTCTATAGAAAAAAATTCGCAAGACCCCCGGGTCAAGTTTTTTCTATAGAAAAAAATTCGCAAGACCCCCGGGTCAAGTTTTTTCTATAGAAAAAAATTCGCGAGACCCTCAGGTCACGTTTTTTCTATAGAAAAAAATTCGCGAGACCCTCAGGTCAAGTTTTTTCTATAGAAAAAAATTCGCGAGACCCTCAGGTCAAGTTTTTTCTATAGAAAAAAATTCGCGAGACCCTCAGGTCAAGTTTTTTCTATAGAAAAAAATTCGCGAGACCCTCAGGTCAAGTTTTTTGCTATAGAAAAAAATTCGCGAGACCCTCAGGTCAAGTTTTTTGCTATAGAAAAAAATTCGCGAGACCCTCAGGTCAAGTTTTTTGCTATAGAAAAAAATTCGCGAGACCCTCAGGTCAAGTTTTTTGCTATAGAAAAAAATTCGCGAGACCCTCAGGTCAAGTTTTTTGCTATAGAAAAAAATTCGCGAGACCCTCAGGTCAAGTTTTTTGCTATAGAAAAAAATTCGCGAGACCCTCAGGTCAAGTTTTTTTCTATAGAAAAAAATTCGCGAGACCCTCAGGTCAAGTTTTTTTCTATAGAAAAAAATTCGCGAGACCCTCAGGTCAAGTTTTTTTCTATAGAAAAAAATTCGCGAGACCCTCAGGTCACGTTTTTTTCTATAGAAAAAAATTCGCGAGACCCTCAGGTCAAGTTTTTTCTATAGAAGGAAGACTCAGGAAGACTTTTTTCTAAAAAAAAAAAAAATCCTGAGACTCTCATAGTTTTTCCTCCTCTTTGTAATTAAATTAAAGGGATTTTAAGCTTTGAACAGGGTGACGTATACATGCAGACACTAGTTATACGCACCCTGAAACACATAAATTTGATTAGAAGTTGATAGCAAAAATTCCGGAGGGGTTCAAGAACACTTTTTTTCCATAGAAAACAAATCCTGAGACCCTGTGGATTACTTTTTTTATAGAAAAAAATTCTGAGACCAGCCGGAAAACTGCTCCACTATAGAAAACAATGCATTACAAATATTCTTTAAAAAAATCCACGCCTTATATGAGTCTCCAAAAAATATTCTTTAAAAAAGTCCACGCCTTATATGAGTCTCCAAAAAATATTCTTTATAATATCCACGCCTTTTATAGGCCTCTAAAAACATTACAAAAATCTACGCCTTATTTGAGTCCCCAAAAATAGTTTTTAATAACAATAAATCCACACCTGTGTGTGGGACCCTTGTTTGTGACCCTAAAAATATTTTTTAATAAATCCTCGTCTTTATTTAATCCCTGAAATCCATATTTTATTGGTAGCTCTCCATGTCGTATACGTGCTGACGTTAGTTATACGCACCCCTGTTTTATGCGAAATCAAATTATGTGTAGCATACCTTGTAGGCGCTCTAAATAAAGGCCTAGGATCATAATAAAAATGTTTAAATGCACCTCGTTCATGTGTCAGCAAAGGTGTGAAAATATATTTCGAACAAATAAAATAAATCTATATATGAGAACCGTGTGTCACAGCGGAAAGCCATTCAACTTGTTCGGCACAGACGATAAGCAGAGGTGGCCAAAATATTTTTTTTTAGAAAATCCACGCCTGTTAAG